AGCTTCATTCCTTTTTATTTTTTGCCACACTGCAGCACAGTACGTGTGTGTGTGTATGCACACTCAGTCGTGTCTGACTCTTTGAGACCCCATGGACTATAGCCTGCCAGACTCCTCTGTCCATGGAATTTTCCAGGCAACAATACTGGAGCGACTTGTCATTTCATTCTCCAAGGGATCTTCCAGACCCAGGGATTGAACTCACATCTCTGGCATCTCCTACACTGGCAGGTGGATTCTGTACCACTTCTAATTCCCCAACCAGGGATCGAACCTGTGCCCCCTGCAGTGGAAGCATGGAGTCTTAACCACTGGACCGCCAAGGCGGGGCCCTGCATATCGATTTTATAAGTGGTAACACTTATGAAGAGCACTTACTTCTTACGGAAAATGGCTCTGGTGATGGTTCTCATGATAGTAGTTAAGAGAAGGCTAAGAGCCCTAAGAAAGTGATGGTTCTCAGCCAGAAGTTTTATAGGAATGTGAATTCCCTGGCAGTCCAGTGATTAGGACACCACACTTCCAATGTAGGGGGCCCAAGTTCAATCCCTGGCTGGAGAACTAAGATCCAGCAAGCCATGCATGACACAGCCCTCCCCTCCCAGCTCCCCAAAAGTAACTTTCATGGGGAAATTAGGTAGTACAAGAGGCATTTGTGAATTCAAGGATGGCAGGGTTTCTCAGACAGAGCATTGCTGATACTTGGCGCCAGATTATTCCTTATTGTGGGGGCCTGTTCTGTGCATTGTCGGGGTGTTTAGCAGCATCCCTGGCCTCTAGCCACTAGACTACAGTAGTCCCCACCTCACCCCTGTGTTGTGACAGTCACGGGGTCTCCAGACATTGCCAGATGTCCCCTGGTAAGCAAGACAGCCGCTAGCTGAGAACCACTGCTGATAAACACATAGTAAAATAAACACACACCCAACAGAAACTTCAAATAGATCTCAGTGAAAAAGATCCTTTAAGAACCTGACAAAGAAGTTAGTTACTGATTGACTGTTGGAAGTTAGGAGCACAAATGGGTAATCCAATTTGTTTTGGGTTGTTGCTATTTTTTTAGTTTGAGGCTAGTATTCTGAGTCTGGGGGTGGAATCTCAAGGAGCAGAGCAAACAGGCAGGGAGCAAACCTGAGCTGAGCCCCAGGTCAGGTGGAAGGCAGTTGCGAGGCAGGAGGAAGCTGGTGTGTGTGTGGGGTCCCCTCTCCTGCTGGTTGGTGACTGTTCTTGGGGACAGCCTCCAGGGAGGCAAGACCGAAAGCAGAGAAGGAGGGCCCTGCTGCAGTCTCAGTAAAGTGGCCCTGCCAACCAAGCCTCCTCCCGTTCTCGACTCTTCCCTGCGGCTGACCCAGGGAAGGCACAGTTCCCCAGGGATGGCTGACCCGCCGCTCTAGGGGTTCAGTGCAGCATTCCTGTGGCCTCACCCACGGGTGCACACGGGGTCGGTGTCACCGGCATCTTTCAACAGCTTCCCCAAAGACAGTTGTCACAGGAAACAGAAGGCGGTGGAGATGGGGAAGCAACACCTCGGGTTTCAGGCCGCGAAACAAGCCCTCTTTCCTTCGAAAGCACCGTCACCCATCTTCAGCAAGATGGGCTGGTGGGGGGCAGCCTCAGTAGCTGCCTCTCTGTGGGCGGGGACCCCCTTCTTCTTCTATTTTGACCACAGGATTCCTTCAGTCCCATGCCACTTGAGGTCCCCACACATGGGGACACAGACAAGGCTGTTCTGAGATCACCTATGAGGGCGAGGTGCACAGGCCTGAACCACGCTATCCTCGAGAGGACTTGTCATCTGAGTCCCCTTGCGAGGCTCATCACACGTCGGTTATGCAGAAGAATGCAGGTGAAGGCGAACACCCGTGACACCCACGAAGGGCAGGAACTCAGAACAGGGCGCAGAGGTGGGGGGAGGCTTGGGGTTGGGAACGCGCCCTCAGCATCAGGCTCCCCCAAGGCAGCCAGCACGGTTCTGCCTGGGCTCTGCTGAGCAGGGAATTCAGCTGCTGAGGAAAGCAGCGCCTGCAGTCAAGTCTGTTCCGCGGTCCCTCTGGGCTCAGCGCAGGGAGGTGGGGGGTGCATCTCCAACCCTCCTCCTGGTCTCACGGGGGATCAAGAACCATTCTCGCAGGGTGGCAGAGTTACGGAAAGCTCAGGCAGGAGGCATGTTCTCCGCTCAAACCCTCGCTAACTCCTGCTTAGCGCCACCTCACCCTCAGTACCACCCACCTCCCCTTGCCTCTCTCCTCACCAGCATGATTAGAGAATACGAGCCTCTGCTTATGGCCAATACCCAGAGGAGGCCCTTGAACGCAGACCTTGAACAACACCCAACACACAGGAGATGGAGGGAAAGAGTTTTAAAAACCGGAATTTGCTGAGGCTTTTCGGTCTCACTGCCCCATTTCCTGTGGGCACATGCTGACATGTGAAATGATTACTGAACAGCTGGAGGCCCAAGAAAAGTGGGCACATCAAAGGCTTCCCTTCCCAAGGCTCAGCTACAGAAATAACTCATTTCCTCACCTCTAAGCTTACAGATGTTGGAAGATGACGCAGGAGCCCTGGTGATGTTTATAGACAGTGTGGACATGTCATTGCTGATACCCAGAGGGGGCTGGGAGCTGTTACATAATTCCACAGATGAAAGGAGCATGATCCAATCCATTTCAAGGTTCAAGAAAGACTAACCTGATCACTTATGAGGTGAACGGGCTTCCCCGGTGGCTGAGGGGTAAAGAATCTGCCTGCCAATGTAGGAGATGAGGGTTTGATCCCGGATGTGGGAAGATCCCACATGCCCTGGAGCAGCTAAGCCAGTGACCCATAGCTACTGAGTCTGTGCTCTAGATCCCGGGAGTCGCAATTACTGAAGCCCACACGTCCTAGAGCCTGCGCTCCACTGCAACAAGAGAAGCCACTGCAATGAGAAGTCCAAGCACCGCAACTAGAGAGTAGGCCCTCGCTGGTCACAACTAGAGAAAAGCCCGTGAAGCAATGAAGACCCAACACAGCCAAAAAAATAAATAAATAAAATTACGAGGTGAAGAAGTGGCCCTTGGAGTCACACACGAATGGCACAGGACCTTGGTGTAAGGCTTTTTGCCAGCTGTTCTCAGTGCTTCCTTATCCATCACATCACAACTGAGCAGGGACAGAGCATGGGTCCCCAAGGAAGTGCAAAGCAGGGCAGTTGTTTAAGGTTAGGGACTTTCTAGAAAGAGGACTTTGCTACTTAAGGCAGTGCTGCCTTTTCCTAGAATACTTAGCAGCACTGGGGCACTTGGTAGCAACATGAATCAATCATTTGATTATTCCAATCCTCCAATCCTTCAACTATAGAGGATTCCATGATGGACCCATGAGCAATCTTCTATAACACAAAGAAGATAAACTGAGTGTATGTGTGAGGGTAACGCAGACCCACAACAGTGAGAAATCCATCATTGTAATTGTTCTAATTACAGGCTCCAGCAAACCACAACTGGAGGTCTCCGCGTGCTTTCTCTGCCTCTTACGCCATCCAAGACTATAAAAGTTGTGCAACATAAAGTTCAGCTAAGAAGTGAAATGGTTTCAAACTGCTGAATGGAGCAAAACCAAGAGTCGACAGCTGACAGCACCCATCCATCTGAACTGACCTCACAGTTTGCAAGTGACAGCAGCCCTGAGATAAAAAATAAGGGGCCAGTTGTGTTCCCAACTGCTCTCTGATCAACACGTAAAGAGTTAACAAATCTCACTCTCATCCTCTGTTCACCATGGCTTGCTGCTGACTCGGGTTCCCAGACCCCAGCCGTGAAAGCCGCTGGGCTCACAAGCACAGTCCACAGGAAGCAGTGTGCTTCTCTAGAAGCCAAGGGCACCGATGTGGGCAAAATAGGCCCCAGAAGCGAAACTCACGTAGGGAGAATAGAGCTCCCCGGTCTCTGTGATTTCGCCTGCCATTTCCCAAAGTGAGGAAGGGTCCCTCGGCGGTCAACGTTTCTTCCTCGCTGGGGCGGCAGCTGCTGCAGCTCCCTGGAAAAAAACAGACTTCAGCTTTCTCAGGGACCTAGACAGCGGTTGGGGATGTTTGCAGGGCCACCCCCTCCCCATCCTTTAATCAGACACTTAAGGCCTCAGGGGCTTCCTGTGTGACTCAGACAGTAAAGAATCTGCCTGCAATGCAAGAGACATGGGTTCAATCCCTGGGCTGTGACGATCCCCTGGAGAAGGGAATGGCAACTCACTCCAGGATTGCTGCCTGGAGAATCCTATGGACAGAGGAGCATGGCAGGCTACAGTCTGTGAAGTCGTAAAGAATCGGACACAACTGAGCGACTGACACTTTATAGTCTCAACATCTGTCACCAGACAGCAGGGACAGAAGTATCTCCCTGTATCATGACACCTGGGTGGTCTCTTCCTACCTTTCCCTGGCTGTGCAGGGCATGTATTCATTGCTGCTTAGACTGCAAGTGATTTAAGAGTCCTCGGATGCCACTAAGTCTCACCCAGCACAAGGGTCTCCTTATCACACTCTGGTTATCCCCATTCAATGCCAGCAACAGCGAGCTCACGATCGCAACAGGGGAGCCAAATAACTGCCTCCTCCGCCTGGGGCAAGGGGCTGGGGGCTTCCGAGGTCACCCCCCAACCCAATTCCTTGTCCCAGAGCCCCGTCCAGGGCCTCCGCTCCACGTCCCCCAACCTGCCTGGGGCTCTCGCTCCTCTCTGATTGTCTTCCCCATTTTCCTCCCCTCTCCTGAAGGAGCCCCGAGTCGGGCACTACCCCAGCCCACCCCAGCCTCTCGCCCCGACACCTGCAGCGAAGCCGGCTCCGGGCCGCCGCGGCCGCCGCCTGCGATCCCCGAGCTCCTGGCGGGGGCAGGGTTGCGCGCGCGCCTCGGCGGCCGCCTTCTACGGGGCGGAAGCGGGCGGGGCGCGCGTCTACGCGCGTGCGTGAGAGCGGCTGTCGGCCCGGGGGAGTAAGCTGGGGCCGGGTGCGAGAGGTGGGCTCCTGTCAGGGCCCAGGAGCGGCTGTGGATTTGGCCGTCCCCGGGACCCCAGTGGCCGTGGGGTTCGAGAAACGTAGCCTGTGACCCCTCACAAAGGGCAGGCGATCGAGGCCTTCAGCCCGCCTCCCTCTAAAGTGGCCCGGGATAGGGCCCGGATGGCTCGCGAGAGTCCCTGGGGGCGGGGAGGTTCGCTGGGAAAAGGGGCTGGAACAGGTTTAAGACGCGGCACAGAATTAACCGTAGGGGGCGTTGTCTTAGGACTGGCGCAAGTGATGGGAGTTTCGGTGATAAATCTTAGTGCTTGGGTATGAGGCCTTCTGGGTGATGGGGTGGAAGGGACAGCCCATGCTTGACGGCTCCTTGAGATGCGAGTCCAGGATTGTTTAATTATCTTTCACCAGCCCGGTTCCCCTCCTTGCAAGGGGTTTAAAGTCCGTGTTCTCTGAAGGGTTTGGAAAGGAAGGATGGCGGCTTTCTCTTCTGACAACTTAGCCCCTGGAGGCGTTTAGCGAATTGAGAGCTCAGGCTCCCACCCTAAGTGGGAGGAAACTCAGGTGCTGAAATCTTTGCCCTCCCCGCTAGCTGCAGGTTGCCACCATGAGGCTGAATCAGAACATCTTGCTGCTGGGGAAGAAGGTGGCGCTGGTCCCCTACACCTCAGAGCATGTGCCCAGGTAACCACTCCCCTGACGTGGGATGCAAGCCAGCTCTCCAGGGTGCAGCGAGGAGGGTCAGCCTGTCTTAGCCCTAATCTCAGAGGCTGTTTTTCTCTGAGGAAGAGAAACCTTGGTGTGAGAAGTCATTGCAAATAGGAAAAAGTGAAAACTGGAGCAGAGGGCAATGACCTCCGTGGAGGAAGTCACCGGCCGATATTTCTCCCTTTCACCCCCCCCCCCCCGCCCCCCACCAGCTTCCTTTTTGGCCTTTCTGCAAGGAATTCCTTTATGTAAACTACATGTGGGTAAGGAAGAAAAGGTATTGTCTTCTCTCCTGAGTGTAAAGAGTGCCACCCCCTTGGTGCCAGTAAATAGGCTCAGTTCTTGGAGACTGAACGCTAACGTGTTGTAAAACTGAGCCCATGGGTTGTTGTGAGGGAGGTCTGTTACAGTTTGGGATGGCCAGGAATGAGTCTCGGGGTGGGGCTCTTTTGGTGGCTGTTGGCGAATGTCTGGTAGAGGGGGCTGGTAGTGCTGTAGGCGTGTATTCGCTGCTGCTTATAGTTTTCGTTTGGGGGGTTTCTGGCGCCCCGCCTTTGTGGAGATCTGTCCAGCCTTCCTTGCTGAGTTCAGCTTGCCATTACTTCTCCTCAGGAATTTGAGGAATGTTTAGCTTCCAACTGCTCCCCCTACACTGACCCCTGAGACGGGAGAGGAGGCTGAACAGACAGGACTGGCTCCTGCTGTCCTGGCTCCTGGGCCTGCGGCCTTGTGCCATAGGAGCCATTATAACCCTTTCTTGGGTCTTCTCTGGCCCTCTGGCCCTGGGGGTTTGCCTCAAGCATCCGTTTCTTCATCTCATAAAATGTCAGACTTAGGCTTCCGAATCGGTCCTACTTGCTGAAGGCTGCCCTTCCGCCCCTGTAGGTACCACGAGTGGATGAAATCGGAGGAGCTGCAGCGTTTGACGGCCTCGGAGCCACTAACCCTGGAGCAGGAGTATGAGATGCAGCGCAGCTGGCGGGACGACGCGGACAGTGAGCAGCAGAGGAGGCCCGGGCCGGGCCGGTCGTGGGAGGGCTGATCCCAGAGGCCATCCTGGGTTCCCTCGTTTTCCCATTCCCAGCTGGGGTCCCAGAAAGGTTGCACAAAAAAAGCACTTTGTGGAACTCTGGGGAGGTGCCTGAAACCCTGAGACTGTGACGCCCCCTGAAGCCAGACCCCGATGGTGGGGGCTGATAATTCTGCTCTCTTCGTCACTCACTGCTCCAGGACTGGAGGGATGTAGAGAAAAGAAAGCTGTGGGGCTGTGGCCGTAAATCAGGCTGCACCCCCTCGCGCCCCTTGCTGTAAGCCCAGCTTGGTCTTTTTGTCGCATCCCCCTCTGAGAATGCAGTCACTGTTTGCAGAAGGGCACTGTTTCCTGAAGGAGGCCTCTTTCGGGCTCTGTAATCAGCGGGAGGAAGCGCCAGCTCCCTTTTTCTGCCAGACTCAGAGACAGGGCTAGTCCTCTGGCTCAGGTAGGAAGACTGGCCCCTGCCCTCCTGTGGGGAGAAGGTGATGACCCTGTGCCCCCTCCACAGAGTGTACCTTCATTGTACTGGATGCAGAGAAGTGGCAGGCCCAGCTGGGCCCCAGCGAGGAGAGCTGCATGGCGGGAGATGTGAACCTCTTCCTCACGGATCCCGGGGACCCCTCCTTGGGGGAGATCGAGGTCATGATTGCAGGTTCGTCCCACCTGGCCCTGACCTCCCTCCCCTCTGGCCCTCAGATCCGCTGAACCTGAAGCCGCCCAAGCTGCATAAGGCACCCAAAGAGCTCGGTGCAAGGCCCTGGCCTTGGTGAACCCAGCCCCTGGCCAGGCAGACCACTTGGCACCCTGTTAGCCACGCGGCTCACCCTTGGTGGTTCGTTTTATTCCCATCTCACCCGTGCGTGTGAACATAACCTTTGGTTTTAGGATCTGCAGGCTGCCCTCTCTTTGGGGTGGACTGGGGACTCCCCAGAATCAGTGTTCTTCCCTGGAGCATCTTCCTGTGCTGTGTGAGGGGCCCCTGTTTCTGCGTCCATCATGGTCCTCAGCCCCTTTCTAAAGGGCTGTGCGCACGTGCTCGTGGGGCAGCACGCTGAGCTGAAGGGGTCAGTTTTGGGGTCAGGTTGCTGAGTGTCGCTGATCTGTGAGACCTTGGGCAAATCGTTTCACTTCTCTGGGCCTCTGTCTCTTCATCTGCAGAATGGTACCCATATCTGCAAGCTTCCTAGGGTTGTGAGCCGGGCATGCAGTTTCAGTGACTCTGTTGTTCCTCCTAGAGCCCAGCTGCAGGGGCCAGGGCCTGGGCACGGAGGCCGTCCTCATGATGCTGCTTTATGGTGAGGAGGGCCGGGCAGGCGGTCCCAGGGGAAGGCGAGGGGGTGGGGGCGAACCTTCAGGCCCAGGGGTGGGGGCAGGTGGGGTGGAGGGTGCTGGGAGGAGGAGTGGGGGGCTTCATAGTGCAGCTTATCCTCTCTGATCCCTTCCGAAGGAGTGACCAGGCTAGGTCTGACCAAGTTTGAGGCTAAAATTGGGCAAGGAAATGAGCCGAGCATCCGGATGTTCCGAAAGCTTCACTTTGAGCAGGTGAGGCTGGTGCTGGTGAGAGGGTGAGGCCCAGGTCTGGGCGGGGGGCCCGGTGGTGCTCGGGCCTGGGGCTGTGACTTAGCGGGCCCTGCTCTGTCCCTGGCGCACGTAGGTGGCTGTGAGCAGTGTCTTCCAGGAGGTGACGCTCAGACTGATGATGAGTGAGCCGGAGCGGCAGTGGCTTCTAGAGCAGACCAGCCACGTGCAAGAGAAGCCCTACAGAGAGGGGACATCGGAGCCCTGCTGACAGCCGGCCGCGTGGACAGGCCTCGCTGTGTGGATGGGCGTGGAAGCCTGGAGCCCTGCTGCAGGTGAACGGATGGAACCTGGGGCGCGGGGCACGCTGGCCCCGCTCCAGGCTGGGAATCTCCTTGTGGGGCCACTCAGACTCTGGGCCGGACTTGGCTTTGGCCTCCCTCTGGCTGCCTGCTGTGGCTGGGCTACTCCAGGATCAGCCCGTCCTCCTGCCAAACCTGGACTCAGACTGGAGTGGATGGCCTGAGTCCACAGGTGGAAGAGGCAGAGTTGCGGACGCGGGCGGCCTGTGACTGCGTGGGGCCTCCCTTTCCCCCGGAGGGGCTGCCCAGGCTCGGGCCAGGAGTAAAGCGCACTGCATGCAGCTGGCCCTGTTCCCTCACTGGACCTGTGAGGAGAGCCTCCAGCGTCGCAGGGACGGTGCTGGGAGCTTGGTCCTCAGTCTTGCAGAAGCAGGAGGGTGTGACCCCGGGAGGTTTGGAAAGGAAGGGGGTCAGCCCTGAAGGACAGCCAGGTGGCTGGGAAAGTGGGTGGGTGTCCTGGTCTTTGGAGCCAGTTTTGAGATCGGGGTAAGTTAGTTCTGGACACAGCTCCGTGTGGCTGGAGCACCCCCTGCGCCCCCCCCACCGATGAAGCTCAGGCCTCCTGCTCAGCTACAAGGGCTGTGGGAGGAAGCGGAGGCCAGAGCCGCGGCCTCCTGAAGGCACCTCGCTCTCCCTGCCTTGTCCTGCCTCCCCGGGAGCAGCTCCACCTCCCGAGGCCATGAGGGGGCGCCCATGGCATAGGCCTGAGTTGGCCGGGCTGCATGGCAGCCAGTTAAGCACCTCAGAGCCAGCGGGACAGCCTTTGACATCTGTCTCTCATCACGCCCTGTCGTAACCTGGTGGCCTGGTTTCAAAACACCATCGGAGAAGAGACCTTTGAGGGCACCTGGGGTGTTTTCATGGAGAAGGAAATGGCACCCCACTCCAGTAGCCTTGCCTGGGAAATCTCGTGGACAGGAGCCTGGCGGGCTGCGGTCCGTGGGTCGCAAAGGGTCGGACACGACTGAGGGAGGAGCGGGCGCTCGCCAGAGGCCCCGGCGCTTTTGATGGCAGAGCCAGGACTGGGGCTGAGGACTGCCAGCTCCCAGGCCTCTCTCACCAGATGGGAGCGTGGAAAACTAGAATCTAAAATAGCCTGAGGGCTCTCCTGGCAGCTCTAGTAAAGAATCGCCCCCCTGCCAAAGCAGGGGACGCGAGTCCCACCCCTGCTCTGGGAAGACCCCAGATGGCAGACCAGCTGAGTCCATGCATCACAGCCTCTGGGTCGGTGCTCTGGAGCGTGGGAGCCACAGTACTGAGGTCTGTGGGCGCCAGAGCCCGTGCTCTGCAACGAGAGGAGCCACCGCAGTGAGAAGCCTACGCCCCCCCAACTGGAGAGCAGCCCCTGCTCGCCGCAGCTAGAGAAAAGCCCACACAGCATGAAGACCCTGCACAACCACAAATAAATAAACTCACTGAAAAAACGCATGCCTCCTGCCCCTCACACACACTCTGCTCGCTGGGGCTCGGGCCCCTCGGTGACAGGTGCCTCTGAGCCACCTGTGCCAGCTTCATCAGAGTCAAAAGTCCTTAGGGCCTCCCCACCCAGCAGGTGAGGTAGGGAGGGCCCCTCCCCAGCCTGGGGGGCCGGCACACCTGCAGGGGACCTCCATCAGAGGTCACAGGGCGGAGGCAAGGGTGAGTGGGGTCAGGCCAGGCCCAGCCTAACTGCTGCAGTTGGTGCCGTGATAAGGGTTTTGGAAGGTTTCTCTTTCCCAGTGGTGGAATTCTAACTAATCTTAACAGGTCTAGTGATGGCCAGATAGTGACCTTCCCTGCTTGTTCTCCTCAGTCCCAGGAACCTGGCTTGAGTGGCCTCCGGGTGGGGTGGAGGACAGCCCAGGGCTAGCTTCTCTTCCTCCTGCCTGCCTATGAATCGGGCCCTGCAGGCCACAGTGGCAGCTGCCCAGGGTGCCCTCGGGTTAGCAGTATAGAGACCTGGACCTCCTGTGGAGGAGCAGGGCATTTCATCCTTGGGAAGTCCCCCCACCCCACCTGCCACAAGCATGTCCCAGGGCCCAGCAGGCCAGGTCTGTCCTCCCCATCCCCGCAGTCAGGTCCATGGCCAGGTAAGATAAGAGTATCTGGGAAGGGGGCGGGGACACCAGCTTGGGTCACGCCTGGGAATCGGCACCTCTCTAGCAGAAAGATTAAAGATTAAAGCCAAGCCTTCTCTCTCCAAGTCTGGCTCCATTGTGGATTCACCCCTTGAATGCTCCTGGGATCCAAGGTGGGTCTTAGAGCCCTCCCTCTGCACACGTGGTCTCTCAGCTCCCCGTTTCCCTGATGATCATTCCTGTAGGGCCGGCCCAGGCAGGGTCCTCGCACAGGACCCATGCATGGCCTAGCCACCCAGCAGCTACAGGCTCAAGGCCCTCTGGTTAAAGCCATCCCACTTCTGGCTCTGGGCTTAGAGTCCCAGGGAGTCCTGGACCGTCCTCTGGGTCAGAGGCCACTCTGGGGACACGCGTGGACAGAGCTGCAAAAGAACACACAGAGGCCAAGGCTGTTTGCAGAAACTAGTTGAATTTCGGGTTAAGAGTTTCCTTACAATTGTGTCTGGCTCAGGGCTGGGCAGGGGGTGGCCAGACCCTCCCCACGTTGCCCAGGTCTCTGGGGTGGGAGCAGAAACAAAAGTTGAAGGAAGGGTAGGGCCACTGCTACGTCCCGGATGCAACAACTTGGGAAATCATGTTAATCAAGAATCGAAAGTCCCTCTAAACTGTAGTACTGCACTTAAAAAATCAAAAATAAGATGCCCAAGTCACAGCTCTGAGGATGGTGGCCCCAGTCCACTCGGGGATGTTGCTGTGATCGGAGTCCTTGATAGATCCTGGACCTAGTCATCATTTGGGGCCAGGAGGGAAGGTGACCTCTTGCCCAATCTCAGGATCTTTGCTTGATGGAGGTCCCAGTGACGTCCCAGGAGGGTGGCAGGGGGGATCTGGGTGGGCTGAAGCACCCAGCGAGGACGGACACACAGAGTCTGCTTTTTGACTGGGGCAGGACAGAAAACCAGTCACTTTGTCGGAGGTAAGGGAAGAACACAGTTCTCTAGAAAGATCAGATTTGCCAAGAGAGGAGATGCTGGTGCTGATTTGTGTGTTGATCTGGGGGTAAGTGGGGGAGAGAGGGTCGGGCTGGATATGGGGCTGGGCTTTCCTGGTGGCGGGGGTGGGGTACGGCTCAGAGGTTGCTGAAGAGTTCGTTTTTCTTGCTCCAGTCCATCTGCGGGGCCCGTTTGCTGACGCGCTTCTGGTGGGCCCTCTCTTTGGCCACGGCCAGGGAGATGTTGAAGTCCAGGATGGGGTCGGAGGATGAGGAGGAGGTAGATGAGGGTGCCGTGGAGTCCTGTTTCTTGGGGCTGTCTTGGGAATTCAGCTGCAAAGAGGAGGAAGAGGGGGGCCTCAGTGCCTCGGCGAGGTGCTCCCTTGAGGCCATGCGCGGGGAAGCCAGGTCACGAGAACAGAACGTGGCTGAGCGTGTGACCTCCACGGCAGGCTGGTGTGCCAGGAGCGAGCGAGACCTGGGAGCAGACTTGCTGCCACCCAGTGCCACCCCCCATCCGCCCAGCTGGCCGGCCTTACCTCCTCGCTGGTGTCACTGGAGGCGGTTCTTGCCAGGGGTGGCACGGGGCTCTCGGAGGCCGTCTCGGCCAGGGCTTCAGGACTGTTCTCCTGGTGCAGAGAGGAGAGGAGGCGTGTGGGTGGGCAGTCCTGAGCTATGAAGGCACTCCCGGGGAAGACGGGGCCTCGGTCTGAGTCCTGCCATCCACCCCAGAGTCCCGCTGTCTGAGCCTGCCAGGGCCCCGTGGGGATTTGCACTTTCACATTCTTGCAAGGATCAGAGGGCAGCCAGGTTCCACCATCCAGGGCAGCAGGACCACCCCTCGTGGGATTAGCTGGATGGCTCACCCGGCCCCTGTCCTCCCAGGCAGCCTCTGGGGTTGACTCCTCCTTGGCACAGTGACCATTGGGAAATCATGTTAATCAAGAATCGAAAGTCCCTCTAAACTGTAGTACTGCACTTAAAAAATCAAAAATAAGATGCCCAAGTCACAGCTCTGAGGATGGTGGCCCCAATCCACTCGGGGATGTTGCTGTGATCGGAGTCCTTGATAGATCCTGGACCTAGTCATCATTTGGGGCCAGGAGGGAAGGTGACCTCTTGCCCAATCTCAGGATCTTTGCTTGATGGAGGTCCCAGTGACGTCCCAGGAGGGTGGCAGGGGGGATCTGGGTGGGCTGAAGCACCCAGCGAGGACGGACACACAGAGTCTGCTTTTTGACTGGGGCAGGACAGAAAACCAGTCACTTTGTCGGAGGTAAGGGAAGAACACAGTTCTCTAGAAAGATCAGATTTGCCAAGAGAGGAGATGCTGGTGCTGATTTGTGTGTTGATCTGGGGGTAAGTGGGGGAGAGAGGGTCAGGCTGGATATGGGGCTGGGCTTTCCTGGTGGTGGGGGTGGGGTATGGCTCAGAGGTTGCTGAAGAGTTCGTTTTTCTTGCTCCAGTCCATCTGCGGGGCCCGTTTGCTGACACGCTTCTGGTGGGCCCTCTCTTTGGCCACGGCCAGGGAGATGTTGAAGTCCAGGATGGGGTCGGAGGATGAGGAGGAGGTAGATGAGGGTGCCGTGGAGTCCTGTTTCTTGGGGCTGTCTTGGGAATTCAGCTGCAAAGAGGAGGAAGAGGGGGGCCTCAGTGCCTCAGCGAGGTGCTCCCTTGAGGCCATGCGCGGGGAAGCCAGGTCACGAGAACAGAACGTGGCTGAGCGTGTGACCTCCACGGCAGGCTGGTGTGCCAGGAGCGAGCGAGACCTGGGAGCAGACTTGCTGCCACCCAGTGCCACCCCCCATCCGCCCAGCTGGCCGGCCTTACCTCCTCGCTGGTGTCACTGGAGGCGGTTCTTGCCAGGGGTGGCACGGGGCTCTCGGAGGCTGTCTCGGCCAGGGCTTCAGGACTGTTCTCCTGGTGCAGAGAGGAGAGGAGGCGTGTGGGTGGGCAGTCCTGAGCTATGAAGGCACTCCCGGGGAAGACGGGGCCTCGGTCTGAGTCCTGCCATCCACCCCAGAGTCCCGCTGTCTGAGCCTGCCAGGGCCCCGTGGGGATTTGCACTTTCACATTCTTGCAAGGATCAGAGGGCAGCTGGGTTCCACCATCCAGGGCAGCAGGACCACCCCTCGTGGGATTAGCTGGATGGCTCACCCGGCCCCTGTCCTCCCAGGCAGCCTCTGGGGTTGACTCCTCCTTGGCACAGTGACCACGGAGGGGCCTCCTGGGGTGTGGGGGTGCCGGGAGACTCTGCTGAGTGTGGGGAACACCCGTGATGTCCCGAGTCTCCTGCAGCACACCTGACTTGTTTACTTGGACTTGACCCCCGGATTCTTGAAATCTTAACCCCCAAGCAGCCAAGAAGGGCTTTGAGGGAATAAGGTCGGGGAGAGTTAAGAGACCCGCAGGGAAAGGGACTGAAGGCTCAGGTGGTTCAGGGCCTTCTTGCTGCGACCCCAGCAGGAGCCCCCAGGAAAAGGAAGCCTTGGAGCAGACCCTGAGGAGCCCTCCCGCCCTGTGGCCTGACCCCGAGGGGGCTGTCCCAGAGCCCAGGCCTCGGGCCGCAGCTGGACACTGAGCTTCTGCCTGGGTTCCCGTGGCCCCAGCTGGCACCGGGCCGCGCCATCTCTCCCCTGGCCCCCACTTCCCTCGGCCTGGGTAGGAGGGGCTTTGTTCTCCCAACCCAGACTGGAAGTAGCAGGGGCCCAGCAGCCCGCGGGCAGACACTGCCGCTCTGTTCTTGGGGGGAAGAATGGCCTCCTGTGTGGTGGGGAGCTGAAGGCGGGGCCTGTCACCCAGGATGGGCCTGGCCAGGCGGCTCCATCCCCTCTGCCTCGGCCCCAGGCTGGGGCCCTTACACGGCCTGGGACTTGAGAAGTGAGGTCTCCACCTGAACCAGACCCTGTCCTCCTCCTAACCACACGTCCTCCCCCGCCTCCCGCAGCCCCAGGGCTGAGCCCAAGAAGCATCAGGGCTCTGCCTTTACCTTCTCGATCTCCCCATTGGTAATGGGCTCAGGCAAGGGACCTAGATGGGGAAGAGAAGAGCGCAGGTGAGTCAGAAGACGTGGGAACAGAGTGGGGCGCGGAAGGCGGGGGGTCGTGGGGCTTGGCTAGACTGCTTGACCTTGTTCCCCAAGGTCAGTGTTTAAGTCTCCTGACTGCCACCCACCATAGTACACTGGACATTCTGACAACCCAGCAGCCTCAGACTATGTAACATTGAACAAAACAGCTTGCCCTTACTACATCTCAAGGCTCTTTTGAGATTTCCTATTCAGCTCCATCAAAAAGACGGGGGAGAGGCGGTGGGGAGTTGGGGATGGACATGTGCACGCTGCTATATGGAAAGTGGATAACCAACAAGAACCTGCTGCAGCGCACAGGGAACTCTGCTCACTGTCGCGTGGGGCCTGGACGGGAGGGGAGTTTGGGGGGGAACCGATACATGTGTGTGTATGCCCGAGTTCCTAAACTGTTCATCTGAAACTGTTGTAACATTGTTAATTGGCTGTACTCCAATACAAAATAAAAAGTTTAAAAAAAAAAGGAAAAAAGGTGCCTACTCAATTAATCCCAAGAACCACTGATGAGTAAGGAGCTGTTTGAAAAAAGCACTGTCATACACAGGGCTGAAATTCCAGGCAGCTGCCTCCCAACCACCTAGGAAGCTTGTTAGAAATACAGATCCCTGGGCTTGACACCAGGGTGTCTGTCTCAGTGGGTCTGGGACGGGCCTAGGAATCAGTATTTTTCGAATGCTTCCTAGGTGACGGTGTGTCAACAGAACTGGGAACCACGCCCTGGTTATGATTATTAGCTGCGAGAGAACCCCAACTCCTCCTGGCTAGTGTGGGGATGGAGGGGGGCCCCAGGGCTCAGGGCAGAGTCCTGGGCGTGCCCTCCCCCAGCCAAGGGGAAACCTGGTGGTGGCAGGTGGGGTCAGAGGGCGAGCACGCCCTGAGGTCACCCTCCCTGGCCTCACTCTGGGTAGACTGTCCACCTGGCTGCAACGGGGGCTGTTCCATCTCCAGTCAGCCTGGGTGGGTTTCTTCTGAGCGCTTAGCTTAAGATCAGGGTACGTCTTTCTCCTTGCCATGGGCCGGGGCAGGCACACCTCTCATCCAGCCTCCC